GAAAATTTAAAAGTGAAATACAAACATTGCTAAAAAGACTAATCACAGAGTATTGTGTAAATGAATAATTATACCTGCAAATGCCATTTTCTTAGTTCCATGCTTAGGATTTCTAAAATGCATTGTATGCAACGAGTAGCTATGTTACACGTTCTTGATGCTCAGGTTCTGAACGACGTAAAAGTGATCCAAAAACTGTCTATAGTACTAAGTTCAGAAAATGAGTTTCAACATATAATTCGTCTTTGATCAATATATTTCATATTCTGATATTCAAAACTTGTACTTTATCTTAATAAACTTTTTTTTGAAAATATAAATCTGGCATTTGCAGCTGAATTGTGAGTTTAGCTTTGTATTATGCATTATGTTGGTGCTGGGGTAGCTCAATCTGTATAGTGACTGACTGTGGACTGGACAACCGGGGTTTGATCCCCAGCAGAGGCAGAGGATTTTTCCTTTGTGTCCACACCAGCTCTGTGGAATACCCACCCTCCTGCCCAGTTGGTACCAGGGTCCTTTCCCAGGTGTAAAATGCAGCTGGGGTGTAGCACTGACCACTCACCCCTATCTAGTGCTGAGGTTAATGAGTCAGAGCTATACCACCTCTGCCTACAGGGCAAAAAGTGGGGCACCTTTACTTATTGTGCATTATGTGTTGTGTGAGCACCAATTTTGGGGTGTTCGTATTTCTAAATGGTTAGTATTTCTAGTTTCAGTATGTCATTACAATTTGCCAATATTTTATTTGAGGATTGTCCAGTTTTAACACTACAATCCAAATGTGTGTCCTTTCCTATTTTCCATCACTTTTACAAAAGTTGACCTTGTGTAATTGGCTATTTAATAATACTATATTGACTGCAGATGGTATTTAGCAAGCAATGATAATTATGACTATAATTTGGTAAGGGAAAATGTTGTCATAATTTCTTGAAACAGTGTGTCAGTGGAAAGGTCTCTAAGGATAATCAGTCCATAGTTGGAATTTATAGAATGGTTTACAACCACATAAAATATACTGTTCAACAGATCTTCATAGTAAATGGAGAAAAATACCTCAATAAACACTGCATCTGTTACATTTCAGTAGCTAAATTATGGATCAACTAAGGAAAAGGAAATACACAATATTTAATATTAACAAAAAAGTACATATACTGAATCTAACAGGTAAGAGATGTCAGAATGTTTATGTACAATACATGACTATCCTTTAATTATAAGAATAGAATGGTTTGTTTTCGTGTACTACTCAAAAGTAATTGTATTGGCTGCCAGTAGATATGAGATGGGGTTTTGTTAGATTAATGTGGATATTTATTTCTTTGTTACATCAGAGATTTTATTTTCTAACAGCTATTGTGCCCATTAAGGTGTTTTGGGTTTAGACAACATGCCATCTCACAGGTAAGAAGATTTTTGGAGGAAAATATTCCCATTTTCGTTACTAATTCATAATATTTGTGAGACACTGAGACCAAGGTTCTGATTCAATTATTGCCTTTGATTATGAGCAAAGTGCTACAATTTTTTTTCCCTGTGTAATTAGCATTTGTACTTCCAGAAGAATGGACAGTTATTGGGCTCTATCATTCAGGTACATAGGCCTGATATAAGCATGAAATTGTGACAATACAATTTCAAGCACCTTTATTAATGTAGAAATATGCTTGACTTCCCTCTTCCATTTTTCGTTTCTTTGTTCAGTGTTAAATCAGCGATAATAATCAAAGCACAATACCGTGTCTCGAAGCTGGAAAATCTGTTTAGGAACGTGAACGCGCTCTATTATTTCACTCGTATATGGTTTTGATGCTGTGAATTCCTTTTCCGGTTTAGCCACACGGTGAAATCATGCCTGTGAGTATGAATGTGCGATGGATAAGTATGTTTTACGCTGAAATTAGTTGCATTTTTGGTAAACCAAGTAGTATACTTATTGTGAAACATTGGAACGAAATTATATAGTAATATTGGTTTTGTGTATGGTGTGAAACTGCGTGAATATTCAGTAAAAATATTCTTCCTGTGTTCATGTCCACATGTTCGTATATTCTTCGCGTGCAAGTTTTGACATGCCCTACAAAGACATGCTGTATTTACGCATAATTGAACAAGAGAACAGATATACGTGATTTCGTTTAATTTGAATAAGAGAATAGATGAGCATATGCTGGTATTTTATTTAATTCTAATGGTTTTCGTTAGGTAAATGGGATTCATTTTGAATAAATAGCACATGTATAGGGCCATGTTTTATTTGTCGGTTATTTTAGACTATGGCTTTTATTTTACATCAGCGTTCTTAAATGATATGTACAGCTACGTGCTTAAATGCACTTGATGCATAATTATAAATGATTGGAATATGAAATAATTTAAAAGTTTGCTATGAGTAAACATTTTAAAGATGTTGATAGAGTATTTTCTGTTTGAAGAGTTTTTAGATCTAAATTTTCATGTAGGCTTCAAAGTCAGATTAAACCTTTCTTTGCGTACAGCGCATTGTACCGTGTTATAGTTTTGGTATATTAATGAAATTTTTGTTCAAGTGCAGAGTTAAAAAATGTTGAGTATCGTTTCAGTAGGCAATAGATTCACAACAATTCGTAAATCACACTGTTGAAGCTGATGGCCTTGGTGACAGTTGTAAGATATTTACAGGCAGCGCTTTTGTCATTGAAGAATGGAGTTTTCAACCACTTTAGAAAATTATGTTCATTTTGGTGATTTTGTCAAGTTAAATTTTCGTTTTTATATATTTATAATTCAGTACTCCAAATCTTTGTATCATTGATGTGATTCTACTTTGTTGTTTGGTTAGGAAACTGGCACATATAAAGTGCAGGTTGTAGCTTAGCTAACCTGCCCTGCTCCTTGCTGTCTTCTCCACTGTAACAAAAGCAAATATAACCAAATCTGAAGTGACTGAATACATTTATGGAACAATAAAACAAAAATTAAATTACACAGCAGTGTTTACTTTAGCATTGCAGCTTTTCTAATTTGTAAAGTTGCATGTGAGCAATATTTTTACACCTGGCAACACTGTGTAGTGTTGTAGGTACACACCTACTGTTCAGAACATATTAACTCCATCTTTAGCCCCAATGGTGGAGGCAGTATGTTCCTAAAAATGTTGGTGTCTGCCTAGAAGTGCACATTGGTTTACAACCCCGAAGACCAGCATTGATACTGTAAAGTTCTAGACTTGCGTGAATGTTGCGCCAGTAGGATGGTTAATGTTAAATTACGTGTGAAGTGAGTTGCGCATAGTTGTGTAAGACCCAGTGATAATTGGTAGCTGTTAAATAGTATGTCCAGGCACTGTGGGTATACTCACTGATAGTGGGCACTGAAGGTTGCGACGTGTGGTGTGATACTTGTCTGCCAAGAGTAGTTGTTGCAGTATGGTAACTTTGCATTTAAAATTTATCGTTTTCTTTTGCTTTGTTAATATATTCAAAATTTTATCCAGTGAGTGCTTAAAACTGACTAGTGGAAAGCTGTGTTTTCCTCAACCACACGGATTATAATATCAAATGGTTGTGATTGTTAATGTTGAGGAGGGAAGGATTGTGGTCCATTTAAGATACTATCCTAATAATTTCCAGGAAGGGCTAAGGGAAAACCTCAATCAGTATATGTGGGCTCAATGACAATCAGTTTTCGGACCTCCTGAACACAAAGTAGGGGTGACAAATCTCGTTGAACTCTTACTGAGAAAAGTAACTAGCTTTGATTTACCACTAATGCTGTGAGATTCATATCATTTCTGTACATTTTAAGAAGTGTCTTTGTGCTATGACATTTTCTTGGGCCTATGAAGGATCAATGGAATGTAAATAAATTCTGTTTAATAGTGTTCTAAACACTGTGCATGTTCAGGCTCAAATATAATTATAAATGTTACTGCTTTCAAGGAGATTCTAAAGTAGACTTCTTTTATAGCTCGCAAAGGATCTCTTACATCCATCACCAGCGGAGGAGAAGCGAAAGCACAAGTTAAAGAGGCTTGTGCAGCATCCTAATTCATATTTTATGGATGTCAAGTGCCCCGGTAAGCCACACATCTGCATGGTTCTGGTGAAGTCTTGTGGAATATACTTGCAAAAATATAAATGTTATGTGTATCACTTTTATTTAGACCAGGGGCTCTGAACCCATGGCCTGTCATTTTTTGTGCAGCCCGTATGTATTTTTTGTAATATTGTATTACTATACATAATGAAAAATAGGTACTAGTATCAGAAAACTTGTTACTTTAATGTCATTATGTGGCTTTATTCTTCATGGCGTAGCTGTATAGGTTGATGAAGAATGTTAGGTCAAGAAGTAGGATGTGTGTATTGATGAGAAGTTGGAGGAATGCAACAAGAGAATCCAAACCCAACACAGAAAGATTACTTGAGCAAAACACTAGTGACTGATATTGTTAGTAAAAGTTATGGAGTGTATAGGAACCTATCTGTAGTTGTAAATTAGTAATTATACTAAACTGCCATGTATTTTCAGTAAATTGTCCTCATTCTTAACATTGTGGTCTGAAAGTCGGTTAAGTAATGGAGAATGTGTCCATGGGTGCAGAAAGGTTTGAAAATGCCTGCTGTAGGCAGTTGTATATACTTGCAACAAGGCTTGATGAAAAACTTTGGTGAATGACTGAATGCTTGTTTCATCATTAATTCCCTTTTGTGATCACCTGCATATAGCATATCATGTTGTGGTGACATCATTCACCAAACTTTTTGATCTTTCTTTATGTGTTCAAATATTCACCAAATGAAATGGTGTTTCAGGCAAAAGTTATTATACCTCTTAATGAAATACACTTGTACAACTACTTAGCATTTTTGATTACATTTATTCAAATGCTAAAAATAAACACGAATGTAGGAAGAACGTGTGTTAGAAACTCAGTAAAGACTCTAAGACAGGACTGCTCACTAAGATGACAGGTCACAGATTGCACAGCTAGACAGGGCTCTTTATTGTCACCCTTAATTGGCTGTGGGGCCCCACCAGCCCTCTCTTCAGTTGAACCCAGGACAGAGTGGTTGGACCACAAAGCCAGCCTGTAGTCTCTGTCAACTAGTGAGGTTAGGGATATCTGGAGCTCTTACAGTTCTGCCAGTACACCTTCATGTGTTGTAATTTGGCGCAGAGGCAGTTCTGCCTTTTTTATGGGTTTTCCCCCTTCATATGCTAAGTTATTTTTGAGAAATTAGTGCATTTAAATAGCAGTGTACAGAATGTCTGTTGACACTGAAACTACTTGCTTTTGAACAATGTAAGAGTTGTTCATGTGCCTAAGACCCAGCCAATTGATGTGTAGATAACATGGAGGTAAGGCCACTCCTTAAAATTCTAGACATTCAGTGTTGGATGGGGGCATGTGGTCAGTCCTTTGCTGTGGCACTTTTACATTAAAGGAATGATTCTTGGTGTATCCATTGAGTCTTGGATCTATACTGGACATGGTGGTGAAAAAACTTAGTCATACTGGAATTCAGCTCCAGCCATCTAGCTTGTATCAAGTTACTACTGTTATCACATCTTAATGATTTATGTTTTATGATCCGTGACTAATGGTGAAGATTGGCTGTCTTCTGGGATGTTGCACTGTGTAAGTTTTTTTAGAGGTGACTCCTAGATTTGTTGATGCTTGTGTTTGTGTTACAGGCTGCTACAAGATAACAACAGTGTTCAGCCATGCACAGAGTGTAGTTGTATGTGCAGGATGTTCAACTATCTTGTGTCAACCAACAGGGGGCAGAGCGAGACTGACAGAAGGTAATTAATTAAAGGAGACAATACTGAAAACATTTTTCATTATGCAGCAGACATTCCAGAAGTTTATATTATTAGTACATGCTACAGACAAAAAATCAATAGACATCGCAACAAACGTGCATTCTTCTCCTACACAACCCGCTGTCAGGGCAGGTGCACTTGTGTTGATGCAGTCAAGTGTGGTGTTGTAGTTCTTTAGTTTAATGTATTGTCCTGGTCAGTAAAACTGTTTCTTTTTACAGGTTGCTCGTTTAGGAGAAAACAACACTAAAACGATGTCCCCAAGATGAAGCCTTCAACGACGCACGGGGGGGAATGGTATATTTACCAGGCTGTTCATATGTTGCAGAACTAAAGAATTGTTTAACTTTTTTTAATACTGTAATAATTGTGACTTTTCTTGAGTTAATAAAAGGCTCATCAAAGGGAGTAGAAGTGTGGTATATTACAAAGGATCCTGTGACATTTATACCAGTGTGTTTTTCATGACAACTTCACTGTTCTATAAGTACTTCCTTCCAATCTGCCTATAATTTTCCTACTGTCCTGTACATTTCCCTCACATGGTCTTGCCACCTTGACATTGGCCTTTATGTTTCAAGTAACCACAAACATACAATATTTAAGAAATGAGGTTATAATGAAAACCTTACCTTTATAATTGTAAAATTATCCATATATGTGGTAAGGTAGACACCATATTCAGTGTATTTTTGTGTGTCTATGAAGGATCAAGGGGCTAAGGAATCTAGTGTGAAGTAATTGCTTTTCTTTTAATAAAAGGTTTGGAATATAAAAAGTTGCAAGACGTTATGATTTCTTCCATAAGCATATTATATTGTTCAGTGATCGGGCAGCTTTCAATACTTCTTTTGTGTCTGTGAAAGTAACACGGATGAGTAAGTATTAAGTTCTGTGACTGCGTGAAATGTCAGTGTAATATGTTGCGTTTGTAAATATAACCATGTGCAAGCACGAACAATAGTGGAGGGTAATTAATCCATGGCAATACAAGTTTTGCCGTGTGATTTATGATTTATAACAGTCGAAAGTTTTTAGACTGGGACTAGTCACCTGTGTTGAACATGTATAGAAAAACGGGATATATATTTGGTGCAATTGCTGGTTCGTATGCAGCGATTTGTGGATTGAATCAATATATGGATGGTTATAATGAAACGCAATTTATTAAAGCTGTCACAGCACAAAACTTGCGGAAAGACGCAGAAAATATATTTCCACGAAACCCATCATCTACCAGCACTACAGATTACGGGAAACAAAATTTATCCATAAATCAGGCTATTGTAAAAGCCAGAGATCTTGCGTATAGAATGAAGGACGAAGTTGGTGCACCGGGCCTAGTAATAGGAGTCAGCATCAACGGGAGAACTGTTTGGGCAGAAGGTGAGCGATATTAAGAAGTATTGACTTTATTGTAATATACTTGGATTATTGTCGTTTACGTATAAAATTTTAAAAAAAGTGGTTTGTAAATTGGTACTCTTGTCGAGAAGAAAATAAGTGTAGCCAACTTGCGAAGAATAAGGTAACCATGATTTAAGAAACTAATTTAAAGTAACGTAACTTGACATAACCGAGTGTAACTTTATTTC